TCCTAACAACACTGAGACTCACAGGGGACATGGGGAAATAGTTCAAAATCTCAGATAAGAAAATATTTTACTGATACAGCGGAACCTCGAGATACGAGCATAATCCGTTCCAGGACCGAGCTCGTAACGCGATGGTTTTAATTACGAGTTCTTACCTTAGCATGAGGGGGGGTACCGTACCGTACCTTACACGGACACTACGTAACTTACATAAACTTAAAGGTAACTCAACATATCGCGTACATGCGTACACCATACACCACGCTCATATTTATGGACTCACTGCCATCCTTACCACTCACTCTATTAGGACTCATCACTATTATGGAGAACAATGTGCAAAATGGAGAGAAAACCACGTAGATAACGCGAAAACAATACTGAAGACTTGCGGAAGATGTGTACGGAAGTCGCCGAACACGTGAAGTGAACGTGGGCTGCTCCGAGTGCTCCCCGTGGACACGGACACCCGTGTCTCCCTGTCCCTCCAGTTCCCACACTCTAATTGATGGATTGCCGGTTGTAAATTTTTCTGTGTCTGCAGCTTCACTGGTGACTCACATTACACTCTGTGGGACATTTTCTCCTGTTTATCTCACAAGTTAAAATAAAAAAAACATATATTTACGATGATGGCTCATCAGGTTTCTGTGTGTGATCAACAAGAAACCAGTTTTATCAAACTGTCTGATTTGTTTAGGTTAGACATAATGTGCGTGATTAAAAAAAAAACCCTTCATCAATAAAAAACGAACTACTTCACACAGACTACATCACTGAAAAGGGCTGAAGTAGTCACTGTGTTCTTGGTGGAGACCTTATGTTTCTGAAAATGTTCAAAGTGAAGGCTGTGAGGGGTTTTATTTACTACAGCCAAAAATTAAACTTTCTGCTACTGATAAACATTGTTGTAAAATTAAAGATGTAACATTAACAATGTATTTAATTTTGTTTAAAGTTGTATTACATTTTAAATAAAACACTGCTCAGTCACATCCTTCTTCGTCTGTTTTGTGAAATTACTGTTTTTACACAAATGAAAAACCTGAAATTGTGAATGAGACTAAAATCTGGCCTGAGGTACAGAGAACAGCTCACTTGTCGTGTATTTCCCACCATCCTCTGAGGCGCTGACCTCCAACCTTATCCATCGTGGGAATATCCTCAGGAGGATGAGTTGGCGTGACGACCAGGACGGCATTACCGCGGTGATGATGAGTCTAACAGACACTGCAACACCTGTCTGATCACACACACACACACACACACACACACGGTTAAAATAGTCTCAACTCAGAAATAAGAAGACCAATATTAATAAACCTAACCTTAACTTAACCAGACAGTAACATTTAAATGAAATTAATACTGTAGAAAAAACAACATAAAGGTTAGCCTGAGGTGTTAGCAAACATGGAAAACTCAATCAACACCAAAGAGAATCTTTTTCGTTTGTATGGACACAGGAGCAGATTGACCATGAAATGAGTCACAGAATAACACTTTTACATTTGTAATCACCGTTAGCAGCATTCGTTAAAACAGCCCTGAAAGCAGTGTGATTTAAGAACATTTACACTCCTGTTGTCTGTGTGGACTGTGATCTGGAAGAGTGTTTAAAAATGAAGGGAATAAAGGCTGAGTGTTGATTAGATGTCAGTAACTCTGGAGAAGACGTTCTCAGCCACATTCCTCCTCTGTCTCTTTACTTTGAACTTTCTGACCTTTCTCTTCCACTCTCACTTCCTCCCTGGACGACCTCTGACCTCCCCAGGTCACAGCAGCTGATTTTTCTCTCTTGTGACGGAGGTAAAAATCTAAGGCAGCTCCATCAGTGCCGAACACGTGACGCTCAAATCTGTGTTTCTTCACCGTCTGTCTGGGATTTAATCACAACTCTGAGAGAGAAGGTGAGACACAGATGAGAAACCAATCACAAGTGGGCAGCCCTGGGACACGCATGTGTATGTGTGTGTGTGAGGGAGCGGGTGGATGGGGGGGAGTGGAGAGAAAGTAGAGCCAGAACAGGAAGGCATGAGAAAGGATTTGATTCATGTCCTCACCTTTATCCTTCCTGTTCCTGTTTTCCTCTTACAAGAGTCTTACACACACACACACACACACACACACAGATGTAGCACTGAGTGGAGACAGACTTTGTATTCAAAACAAGCTGGGACAGAGAGAGAGAGAGAGAGGAGGGAAGGTCGGAGGTCAGAGATGGTGATGGAGTCATGACAGGTGTCATGTGTTTAGTTTCTGCCGTGTGTGTTCCCACTCATTCCTCTGTCCCAGAAGTCACATTTACAGGTTTGAGCCACAAATCATTGTTGTTGTTGTTGCGGTTGTTGTTGTTGTTGTTGTTGTGGTTGTTGTTGTGGTTGTTGTTGTGGTTGTTGTTGTTAACTGTCGGTCCCTTCAGAATAAGTTGTTCTAAAATGTAATGTAAAAATGTTCAACACAACATCTGTGTTCTATGAAAAGAGCAGACACTAGGGGGAGAGAGGGAGGGAGTGGAGCTGGGGCCCCCCCCCGCCCCCCCCTCTGTACTTATACTGGCACCAACATCAAGAGCAATAACTGAACTTTGACCTTGACTCATCCTGCTATGAGCCAATCAGAAGTGAAAAGAGTGTACCTAAGGAGCTCTAGTCCCACTCCTGCTCCTGTTTGTGTGTGTCTGGGGGAGAGGGACATGGGGGACACGGGGGGTTGTTTGGCTGTTGGACACGTGGCAGCAGCTACTCATTAACATGGAGACGCCGGTATTGATTAACAGTGAAACTAAAAACTGAAAGGACACGAGAAAAGGGCGGCGGGGGGACATTTTGGACATGAACAAAGATGGCTAACCATGGTGTCCAAAACAGTCAAAAATGTTTGTCAAATGAATCATACTGTAGTCAGACTAGTGTACTTTTGATATTTATTTATGAAAAATATATTTCTTTCATTAGATACATTAACATAGGCACATATACAATTCTCTTTTATAAATATAGAACTATTTACAAAGGTCATATTAAATAGGTAAACCATCCACTGGAGTTTATGTACACATTGCATTCTCAATACTTAACTTAACAAAGACAGGACAGAGACAGAGATGGGACAAAGGACAGAGCAACGTAAAAACAGGAAAACACTTATTTTTGGATCAAATGAATCAATCTAGACTCTTCTCTGTGAGTCCATCAGTGGTCGGGTCCACATGTTCCTGCTCTCCTTCTTTCCCACAGTGTTTGACAAGGCAGTACATCAAAGGTTTGCAGTACTTTGATTCTAGGAAAGTTCAAGAAGAAGAAAGTAACAGGAACTGATTGTTACTGTGGATCCAGTCCAGCAGCAGGTTTTCTGTTCATAAGGTGAAACATTTAGCAAAACACGATTGGAAACTGGGCCTTAAATTCTCCTGGTTCTCTTCAAGCCTCGTCCAGCATCTGGACTGCTGCTCAGGGTCAGGACTGGCTCTGAAAACCAGGTCAGAATATGACGCGCAGGCGTCGACGTGGTTCCACAGGTGGAGGCACTTGATGATGATTGTTACGCTTACATTCTGCAGAACTGTCCGGCAGCTGGGACAACAGCAACGATAGAAAGGCTTTTGGTATAAAAATGATCAGGTGGGCTGAACAAAAACAAAGTTCTGTCATCCAGACCCACAACTTTGACAGTCTGACTAAATGGTGTGATACAGGAAACGGCTGCTCTGGTGATAGGTAGGAAGCGTAAGGCACCGCTCTTTTAAAACTGGTGGAGAATCAAAGTCTTTTCATGTTTGATCCCAGAACCAGTTGTATACAAACTAATGACATCATACATAAATGATAGGAATTAAGTAAAAAAAAAATTAAAAAATGTGCAAATGATGCTGGACATTCAGTCTTTCCTCTTCTCATCCTTCTTCACGCCACAAATTTTCATTCCACTCACAATCAGTGTTGAAGCGAAGAAGAAAAAGTCGTCCTTCGTCTTCTTCTCCACAGAGATATGGTAATAAATATTAAATAATAATAATAATATGTGTCAATAAGTCCCTCTGGGTCAACTGTCTTGGACAGTCAACGCTTCAGCACCACAGCTTTGATCCACTACTGTTGGAGGTCATACCTGAGGAGAAGACAAACAAAGGTTAGAGGTTAGTCATCAGCGTACGAGAGGAAGAACACGGTTTATTTATTATTAAAAAAAAACAAAAAACTTTGAAGGAGTTTGTCCTCACCTCAGTGGCAAACACACACTGTTCCATCTGTTCTGGGATGATGAACACAGGACAATACCGACTGTCCTTCACAGCGATGGGGGAGTCGCACGTTTTACTGTTGTGGAGAGAAAGACAGGAAGTTAGACGAGGCTCAGTACACAGGCAGCAGCACACACACACACACACACAGATCCATCAGAATGAAGTCACTTCTTACAGGTCAAACTTGCTCTTGGTCTTGTGCTGCTCTTCGTTCACGAGGTTACAGTCGGCCATTTTGTTTTTGAAGATGGACATGTTGCTGCCCTTCTCCACCAGTGCTGCGTCTTTGTTGGACACCTTCAGTTGTCCTCCACTCATGAGGAAGACCTCCTTCTCCCTCAGACTGACTGCTGCTCCTGGGAGGCAGCCATTGTTAGGTCCCCCGCCGCCGATCACTGCGTTGCGGTTATTTACTGCCTCCAGGTCATTCTTGACTGATGTGGTGATGGACCTCAGCTCTCTGCCACGACGGAGCTGACGCACAATGAAGACGGCAGCGCAGAGCAGCAGAGTCAGCGTCACTAGGCCGAGGACAATGGCCGCAATGAGCGCCGGAGACTGATCGGCCTGGGACAGAGGTTTGGTCGTGGGCATGACCTTCACCGGATACTCGCACCGTGCCCCCATGAAGCCCAGAGGACACTGACACACAGGGCCGGTGAAGTGGGTGAAACACGTGCCTCCGTTTTCACAGGGGAAGTGGTCACACGGGCTGTCCCGCACCGAGCAGTCTTTACCCGTGAAGCCCAGCGTGCACGTGCAGGTGAAGTCGTTAACACCATCCACGCAGGTGCCGCCGTTACGACAGGGGTTGCTGGCACAGTCGTCGACGTTGATCTCACAGCGAGGTCCGGAGAAGCCCGGACGACAGCGGCACGTGACCCGTTGACCCAGGTCCACGCACTGAGCTCCTGCAGAGATAGAAGATAAATATGAGCATGAGAGTCAGTCAACCGGTCGGTGGTGTGTGTTTGGTTCAACTCTGACAACCTGGAGGAGATGCCTACACACGCAAAACCTTCGCTAATCCTAAGCTGTCAACACGTCTGAATGGTGGAGAGAAGTGAAGAAGACAGAGCTGATAACAAAGACTCTGAGCAGAGACAAGACTGTGGGGAGGACAGGGAGTGAGGGGTGAAAACAGCATCTTGTTTATTACAGCAGATGCTTTTTATCAGAAGACATATTATAGTCCCTAATATCCTCTAGAGACATTTTATGCTCTGCAGCAGCCTGAAGGAGGCAGTGAGGAGAGCGAGGACAGATGACCTGAGGACATTTAAACTGGAGCTGTGAAGTTGTTTAACAGTCAGACTACGGCTCATAAACACTGTGAAAACAGGCTTTGAAAAAAGTCGCTCCTTATTTGGTCGTGTTCGGCAGCTGTGAACTGTAAAC